CTGAGTGTTTCGAGCCAAACCCTGTCGCTTGTAACAATAAGTAAAAGCGCCAGTCACCATAAGCCCAGTTTCCTTAGCTAACGCCCGGTTATTCAGCCACTACATAATTAAATACCTTCACAAATGACGCGTGTATCACAATGGGATAATAGTAATTTACCTATGGGAGTTTGTTATAACTCTAGTAAACTTTTCAGAGATTTTTACTCGTATTTGCTGGCGACACATGCCTTTTTTAGTAAAACATGATCAAATCGTGTAGCAAATGAGGATTGGAGCGGAATCAGATCTTTGATATGATTGTAAGTATATATCTTCTGTTCTACCCGTATTATTTAGTCTTCAGTTTATTGAATCTTTTTCATGATTATATCGTTTCTATGCATGCCTCGTGACTGTGACTGTGACTGAGATTAGGCATTGAGGTGAACGACCTGAGTCGACCGGCGAGGATTCTTTGCTACACAGTCAGTGGGCTTACACGTGTTAATAAAATAAATGCAATTAATTTACAGATATCTACTATATGGGTGCAGTCATTTCGAATACAGACTGGACCTAAATAGTCTCTAGTTGTATGCCAACTGACTGTGTTTTGATTCCTTCATTCATTATGTACACTTAAGCTTATCTAACATTTATAAGAACCGTATGTATATGTTCGCTGTCGACTTTTACATACATTGACCTCGTATCAAGTATGGTACACTTCGATTAATTTCATAATACATGATCATGCAGTAAGAATTTCTCTACTGCAAAAAACGCGAGTTTTGCAAATAAATATATAATACGAATAGATTTGAGTCACTTTATATTAACTCGTGTTTATAACACAGCTTATTTAATTAAGTCTACTAAAATCATATTTATTTTCACGTACTTTTACAATGATGTTGTGTTTGATCAATTGGCTTATTTTGATGACAACTATGACTACGGAGCGTTGGAAAGAGAAACAAATGCACAGATGTGATATCTGAGAGGCACAAACCATCTTATTGTTTCTTTTAAAACACTATGCTAATGTCACCTGATTTTGATATGACTGAGAGTGATATAAATTAATGTAAATCCTTGGCCATCTGCTGCTTCATAATAAATTGACCCCTTTAAGCAATTCACAACAAATTCCCTTACAGTTGAATAGAATCTATAGGCGTCTCCCGACTTTATGAAAAAATATTATGGAAGTAACCATGCACTATTTCATATTTGTGTTATTATTTTTTAAAACGCACGTAAACAATTCAATCAATAACTAAAATGATCTCTTAATTAAATTATGTGAATATGTGTGTTGGGATAATCCATGAACGTATAATTTATGCATAACACATGTCCAGTTTTCAGGATTGCAGGATTATTTCTGATAATTAAAGAACCACCCAATAGCATTCAATACAACTTCATAGTGATTGTGAGATAATCCCCACGTTTTGCGTAACAATAAGCCATTGTTTATTTATTCTTTATATTCTATTGTTTTCTATTGTTTAAATCTCTAAACTATGAATCAATTTGATTGCCCACTTTACTTTCTTGAATTTTATATTGATATTACATATGTTACATTCATATGTACTATTATGAAGTATTTGCTATATAGTTAAAAATAACATAGTTTAACATTACTGACTATTGTTTTATGTTATCTGCAAATCCAGGTTCAAAGCACTAAGGACTATGAGAACGTGATGTTCCCTGAAAATGGTTCATTGAGACAATATAATTTCTGTTACAATGGAGTTATTTACAAGTGGATTTAAAATGTGAACCTTTATCAAGAATGTACATTAGCTATAATAATTCCTATAATTTTTCAATTGTAATCCCACAAGTTAGTGATTAAACCTGACTGCTATAATTTTGTTTACCATGTGCAGAGCACAAAAAACACGAAAGTCTCATTGATGTCTGCTTTTCAGTCTGTATGTATTAATAAATGCACGTACTTTCCAACTTGTTTCACCAATATCTCAATCACCACAGATATTGTCTGACGAACGCCAGACACGATTATATTTAAGTATAAATCTGTACATATTAATTAGGTAATTTACATACTAATTATATATAACTGTTTCAGCTTTTTTTCTATATCATACAAAGAAAAAAATACAATTATATTATATTCAAAAACAATCTTTTGCTGTTAATTGTTTTCAATTAATCAGTCTGATTAATTAATTACTTGCCAAACAGGAGCACTTTCAGTTCTCAACTTATTTGTTTATACCGTAACAAATGGCTTGAATGAATGAATAAAACTAGACATGCATGCTGCTCATGTTGATGCATGACCATTAATTGTTTGGAATCAGGCAATGCACATCAAATGCACTGAAGCTTCTTAAGACATATGTGCAAATGAATATCTAATAATTGTCTCTGCAAATAAAATCTTACTCAATTGGCTTAGTGATAATATAAACATAGTGCTTCTTATTACTGAAATTATTTAATTCTACCAGAATCGTAGTGATCCGATAATTGCAATTTTTAATTAATATAATGGGATTGACTGGAAGGGTCTGCATATGTTCCAATTGCTTGTGCCTATGAGCACTACGGTTACACTGGGTAATGTTCAAATTTTTCACATAAAATTCAGTATAAATTTGGTGTTCAGCCTTTGGCTTTGATTATTATGACTTAAATAAAAAGTCTGAAGGTCATTGAACAAATTGATTGTTTTGGTTGATCTACAATGCTTTATGTGTAATTTACAGATGATATGTCATGACCCATGCGGTAGCAACTGTACTGTACTAAGACAAAAAATAGGCACCACATTGCCAAATATTTGCCAGGGTATAGGCGCTGTTAAGGCAGTTATATTCTATTATCAACAGCGCCTACAGTGATCTCATCAGCTAGCCCCACGGCCACAGCACAGTCTTCCAACCCCTCTACACATTTTGATGACGACGACATTCACCGTATCTGTCTTCTCATTCAGTGCTACAAGTAGCGATTTGTGCATGATTCAAACACCTTCAATGATATTTACATCAGTGGTACCTGGATTACTTGAGCCCATGGGCTTCAGTGCATACTACCACACATGCATCTCACTCCATATCCACTGTAATACTGATCACAACAGAGTAGCCACCTTCAGACTTCCTAGCCAAAGTACTGTCAAGGGGACCCGGTATGACAGTGACCTGGAATGTAAGACTGTCGTTGAGGTTGTGACATAATATTATAACTTAGGTATAGGCCAGTGTGTCCTCTAAGCTGTGTAATTACTTGTCACTGATGTATAGAGATGTTACGCAACTTGTTATTATAATTCACTGGCGCATCTTTGACATAACAAAAAGTTACACATTGATATAGTGGTCCTAATAAATATCTTACTATAGTTACATAATTTCTAATTTGGTAAAAAATTCACATTTTTAAACAAAATACAAAGGAATTCAAGGGCCACAACATTTTTGTTTCCACCTCAAGTCACCTAAACAGTTACATATAATAGTTTTATTTGTTTCTTTAATAGCTCTTTCTCCAGGAGTGTACAAACTTACCTGATTTCGGGGGTTTCCTTTTTTCCCGGGGTCACCACAAATTATGTTTGAAATAATTTAATTAGCTAAGGTTACCAAATCAAATGAAACAGTTATATATAATGAGTAACTGATCTATACTGACATTAGTATATTAAAATCCTCATCCGACCAGCAATAATAAATGACTTCATGGGCTCTTCTGGGTCCTCCTTCTTGATTGTCACTAGTCACACTGCATGTTGGTGCCTCAGTGGTCTTGTTGGTTATGGTGAAGTACTGCAGGGCAACACATTGTTGTGTTGCATAGTTTTTACCTTCACACCAGAACTTTCAGACTTGACTCTTTCTTGACTTTTTGTAACAGAACACCCAGATACAATCTCACCTCTGTTGCACCATGTTCATTCCTGACAGGTTCCTGACAAATGCAGTTGAAAACTTTGTCAGGCTTAGTCCAAGATATATATCCAGATGGTACGTTTGCTCCTGTTCATACATAAACAAATATGGATAATATCCAGTGATATCCAGTAAACCGATGAATATATTTTTTAAATTTCAATCAGTGTGAGATTGAACTTCCTTGTCTGTTCAATTCTGTAGATGATATGGCCTTGTTCTTGTATTTTCTATACCCATGTTCAACATACATGATTAATCACTTTTAGCCTAAAAGTCCTCGCCCTTACCTAGAGTGTAATTTGCCCAGAAAACCTACTGGCTGAGGAAATATTTCAATAGATGGTCTATTCTTGGCATGACTTTCATTTTCTGTGACAAAAGCCACTGTATGTCTGGTGAAGAGATTATTTGACTAGAACATCAGAAACACCTTCCTTGCAATCCTCTATCTGTATGTATTCCATCTCCACCACTTATGAGGTGCAGATGTTCACTAGGGGTGATTTCATACACTCTGTATGTTGCTTAGGCTGTACACATTGCTCACATTTATCTATTGTTTGGTTTCCGTTCTTGTTAATGTTCAGTCAGTGAAATTTCTATTGCAACAACTGCAATGTTCGCTCTTTATCTGGATAGAACATCATTGTGAGTTCCCCTTACTGCAATGCTACGACACTCCTGGGAAAACACAGTAATATACAGTTCTAATATATCTTTCCATACTGTCATAGCATAGTTGCTTCCACACACGCAAACGTTTCCAGACAACTCGTGTCTTTTCATAAGTCTTCCTTGGTAGAGATGGTTTACACCATGGCACAGGTTCAGGCCAGGTAACAGGTTATAGCATGGCAAACAGCTTCAATCCATCAGCCTTTTCATCACCGCAGATAACATATGTTATATATATATATATATTATATGTTTTCGTACTGCGAAATATAACTACATGGGAAATAGCCAGTGCCTTCGAAATTAGCACAAATGTCCCACATCTGATTTGCAGGACTTGTTATATTCTGTGGTCAAATTATGTACTATATGTGTTCAATATATGGCTACTCGGGGAAAATAGATATGGTCATCCAACTTGACAGACATGTGACTATCAAGACAAAAGGCCAAATGTCACAGAAAGTGTTTACGTATGTTCAGCGTGAAACTAAAAGGGAATACCTACAACTCTTCTTTCATGTGACTACCATGACCTGGTTAAACAGGAACAAACAAAAGAAAAAGGGTCACAATGAGTGTATGTATTTTTGCAACGTAAATAAAAGGGGAATATTTTATCTTGGCACACATGTTTCTTGTGTGATTTTAATATTTATTCACATTTTGAGTGTATGTTCTTAACCGACTTCCAAGAAAAAAATAGCTACTGCTTTAACACTTTAAACATATGATCCGCACAACATTAAAACAAATATAAAACACAAATAAAAAATATGTACCTCCGTCAATCCGTATTCACGTATTCCGCACGTTACACGTTTTCGGGTATAACCATGAAACCATAATGCGTAATATAACCATAATATAACTGTGGGAATGATGCTCGATATTGAGGTAATCTTGCTTCAATTGGCATCTCCTTTGAGTTCTGCGTCGATGTGTATGATTAATACCACTTCTTCCAATGTCATTACTGCATTAATTATTTCATTCGTTCTGACAGATTCGAAAACCATGCAATACAAACTACTTATCACAATAATCACCCTGCTCCTGATGACAAGTGTTTATTTCTCGGTGTACACGTCGCAGGTAAGTATATTATAGAAACAGTCGTTCAGTGATACCGCGAAAAAGATGAAAAATGGAAATATATATTTTCTCGAAGTTTTGTATACTTAAGATATAGTTGATATAGTTGTATACATAATTGTTTTCGTGAACTAATATTATTGCTACTGTAACATAAGAATATGACAATATTCGTTCAATGAAAAAAACGCTACTTCGCATATGCAAAGATTGTTATTTTAATAACCAAAAATATTCATATCAGTAAATTGCAAGTGTAGTGAAAAAAACATTTTGATGTTATCATGTTATTAAATGTATTCGTCAAGCTATCTAACAGTCGAATTAGCTCGGTTGTCTTTTTTATAAAGTCTCTTTCTCAAAATAAAGTTGAAAATAATATGGACGATGAGATATTAAGCACTTGTCATGGTTATTAGTGTTCCCACCATACTCTTGTCACGTCAGAACCGTAATAGAGGGAGTCGAAAATAGCACTTTTTCAGCCAACACGACAAAAATATTGTCTAAAAATAGCAAATTCAAAATATCTTCACGACGGACGGGCGGATGATGAAGACCAATCATCTATATGAAAAACGTTATAATTGGCATATTATCGTCTGTATATATCTTTAGTCAAAGAATTTACTCAACTGAATGGGCTGAAATAAATGTAAATGCGAATACTTTGTTGTTTAGAATGTTAATAGTTTATTGAAGTGTTAATAATTAGCTTCTGGAAGAATAAATTCGACCAACACATAAATAGGTTGGTTAATATTATATTTGCTTGAACATTCCAGCAATTCATGTAACACGCATACAAAATGACAATGTCTTGCGACAGTTTGGTTTACTAGAGTAGCATAATTCGAGCTTCAAAACACGACATAACAGACGATAACACATCAAAATAACAAACGGCATTGCTTTCACCCATCTACATCATAACGCAGTCAGACACTAGATGGCGTGACTCATTCGAATGGTATATTACATTTTTCTATGTTCTTTTTAAATATAATAATATACTGTCAATCTATCTTTACAGACAGTAGGTACTTTTAAACCGGCAATCCCAAAAATGAAAGTTTCAAACAGTTCTAAAGTACTCCGTACTCTTTACCAACCAGTAGTACACACCGACGAAGACTATGAATTAAAGCAAAGCGACAGTGAGTGGAATATGTCTGCTGCATTTGAAGGAAGTCGTGGTAAAACGAGTGCTATAAAATCTAATCTGGTGTTCTTGAGTGACCTCAATTCCATTCATAGAGGGGATATTATTACATTACAGATCCATGCCCGTGACGATAATGGTCGTGAACGTGTATTTGGAGGAGATATTTGGCGAGTTGATATATATAATACCAAAATTAAATTCGCATCTACTTGTATGAATAAAATCATTGACCACGACAACGGAAGTTATACCGCACATGTGTATGCAGGCAAGTCTGGGAATATGCAATTACGAGTTTCGTTGGTCGCGCAAAGAGAAGCGGTTGAATTCGTTAAAAGTGTAGTATGGCCATCAGAACCACGAATAACATGGCGGGGTATATTTGCGAAGGGTGATTTTAATGAATCAAGTTATTGTTTCCTAATGAGAAATGGAGTTTGGAAAAACAAATGTGAATTCCCTCACGCAAAGGCATTGGGAAAAACGACATTCCTTTGCGAACCACCAACTGTTTTAGATTGTAAAGATCTCATACAAGTTACGAACGGCCCTGGTCCAATTGAACAAGAATACGTCGAGTTGCGAAATTTAAAAACACAAGAAAGGAAAAATAAATATTTATTTAAAAGGTAAGTGTGAAGTACCCATTTTTGAATATTATGTTATATTAAATATATTTCTGATTTTTATCTGAATAATGTAAAATATGGGTATTACCCAACTTTATGTCCGAGTACATTGTAAAATGAAGCATAATAACCGTATTATCACAAAATATAACGGACGTTGAAAATGAACTATTGTTTTCCGAGTTTGCCTCCAGGCGATGTCAGTGACGTATTAGAAATTTGCAAAATCGAACGCGCAACTCTAGCACACTCCACTGAACGTCCATACTCCATCTTTCCCTGAGAAAGGCCGTAACTGCTCTCTCATTCACTCACGAAAGCTAGAAAGTCTGTCTGGCACATGTATTGATACAGTCACCTTAACGAATATCTTCAACAAGTCTTAGTGCATGTAGTAGCGACAAGGAGAAGCGATCAATTCTGAAGTTCAGCACCGATTTCGGAACTCACTGATAGCCACTACCGAAATTACCTCCTCGCCACAGTGGTAGATTAATAATAATAATGAACTATATCCATTTTATCCGTTTCCTGTGTTTTCAAACATTTACAACTCAGTCATATGCATTCTTTACAATCCTTTTATTATAACACCTTTATTCATCTATACAGTGTAAATTCGATTATGGCTAATGTTCCGGGTCAGATAGTCATACATGGTAAGTATTCATGCAAAGTATATTCACAGGGGTCATAATTTCATCTTAATTGATAAAATAACTACGTTACTTTCAGTGGACGACGGACGGGCTTTATAGTTGGTAATATTGGTTATTTGTTCATTACTGTGGGAAAGGATGACAACAACGAGAAACGCCACCTTCCATGTTTCCTTTTGTAAAGTATAAACTATTATTTCACTTCTAGGTCGCAAGGCATCTGACTATGAGTTGTACTCAGTGCCTCAGTGTAATGCGGACATTCAAGAACCTGTGAGCGATGGTTACTGGCTTGGTTCTATATGGCACTCGCTCGTTTGTCAAGACAGACAGTGGAATGACGTCACAGAGATACAACAGTGTCTACGAGGTAAAGATGTGTATTTCCATGGCGACTCCACAATGCGGCAGTGGTATCATAAGATGCTGCAGATGGCTGGAGTAAAAGTCGATGCTAACAATTGGAGAGACAAACCTGAATCGATACCTGGACAGTTTGTGGTCAGTGGAGACGATCCTTACGCGATGATGGTTACGAACGTTAGAGATGACATCAACTTTACGTTCAACTGTCATGCCATATCACGTCACAGAACACATATACCGATTCACCGTTTCAAGTTCATGGCCGATATTTTAGATTCTATGCGTACTCCAAAATGCAACTACGTGTTTGTGTTCAGTCTATGGTCACACTTTCACTGGTGGGCACTCGACAGCTACACCGAAAGACTTGTGAATATTAGGAAAGCTGTAGAAAGGCTTAGAAAACGTTGTCCCAATTCAATTATGGCCGTTAAAGGCGCTCATTATAGAGGTGGCTCGCCGTATTTGGACGTAATGTACTATAACATGAATCGTATCATGAAGGAGATATTCAAAGACCAGGGAATATTTTTCATCAATATTTGGGATATGAATTTATCATACTCGATAGCAAAGAAAACCCCATATAGCATCCATATGCCTATAGATTTAATACAACAGGAGGTGAACATGTTTTTGTCTCATGTTTGCCTGCACAGAACATGAACAGTGTGTGTTGTTTATACTATTTATGTTAAACGATGTTTCAGACTGGGGGAGGGTCCTAAAATGATACTATAAAAATGTGTGTTTTTTTGGGGGGGGGATCGAGTGATCCAATGAGTCGTCGAAACATCCTGTATTACCCACACATGTAATAACAACCATAATAACGCCTTAAACGGGAGTATCGTTCCCGCGCACTCGCGGGAATTGAGTCCCAAGCGACGATAACAACACACGCTAAAAACGCAAAGGCTCATGGGTAGACGCTTGTTTGTAAACAATGACACGCAATGGCCATCTAACGCATGCACAGGTGAAGACTCCCCCGCTTTAAGCATAAATGTAATATTAACCTCATGTGATCATGTTATTTTCTTTTCTTTTTTTGGTATGGATCCCAACAATATTTTTTGTGTTAACTAGTACTACCTGTGATTTTGTTTTGATTTTTTTATAGCAAGAACAATGAGTTTGATTGCCTAAAAAATTGCTTTGGATTCAACATTACTTACTTCGTTTTTATTGACAGACCTGCATATTTGAACTTATTTTGTAAGTTGTATTGTGTTAGGTTATTTTATCTTTGATTTTTTCGGGAAAGTCTAAAATTTAATTAGCGTTGTTTTAAATATAGTGGTTTATTATTTCTAAACATAGTGTCGTTTTCTCATGGATTATTTTTTCATAGACGACACATGTCTGATTTTTGTACTTTTCTTATGGACGGCTATTAGTGTCCTCTGGTGTTGTATTTTTGAGTCATTTTGTCTCAACCTCATGCCCACATTCCCATTTGCATTGTGGTTATTGCAGCACCATATTCAGCGTGAGGGGTCAATCCATGGCGAGATCTGCTCACCATCCCTCGCGCCGAAGGTGCTGTGGCCGCGCATTTTTTCGCCCCAACCCACCGCGGTCCGGTCGCCACTCAATAAACAATACCTCAGTTAAGCTTGCGAACATTATGTTCATTATAATTACAGTTTTCAGTTATAAAAATACTTTACCCAAAATCGGGCCATATACACTTAAACCTTTGCACCATTCTGCTTAGCCAGTTACAGTTGAGAAAGTATTCATATATAACTTTAATACCTAAACAATAAATGACATTATTTAATGCAAAATCACAGAATAGAAATACACCGTGACTACAGAAAACAATCAAGATAGAAATACAAATCATGAAGTCAACAATAATTTTCTGACTTTTGAAAACCCTAGTTTAAATCATAACAATTCGGAACAAAATAGAGCGTTTAATTCAGACCGCCGTCATATTCATGAGATCATGTGCAAATTAGCATGAGATCTGCGATTCACTCAAATATGCATTCCATATCAAATCTAACAGTAATATTCTATAATAATATTACATATTATTATTATTATTCCATAATGCAATAAATACATTTATCATAAAATATCATATCATAGTCTAGATCACAAAGATTTTCCCTTTCAAATTCAAACGCTCGATAACTCTAATGTCGCAAACAGCAGCTGTCAAAGACGAGTCCCGCTCAGAGTTACCGTAAGAAACGTGAATCAGATAAACTGAAACATACCAAACCATGAATAGAAAACAAAGAACGTCAGGAAAGAATAATAATTGAACCTCACGATAATCCAACATACAAAACTAACTGAATAAATAAATAAATAAATAAATAAATAAATAAATAAATAAATAAATAAATAAATAAATAAATAAATAAATAAATAAATAAATACGAATGAAAACTGAACGTCGCGCAATTTGTTCAACAGTTATCAGATCGCGACAAGAGGTAAACAGAAGACTCAAGTCAACGTCAATTTTGCTAGATAATAAAGTGTCACGATAGCGTTTCCCATATTACGAACACAATTCAGGCAACAGATGAATATCTTCTGTGATGTAGTTGTATTTATACTGTCTATGGAAATGTTGATTAAAGATTCAAATTCAGCAGTTAACATGATGTTCGAAAGTTTCACAATCAAATCAAATATCCAATGATACTAATATATTTATTTCATTCCTTTAACAACTTGCACTGGTGGAAGTTGATCAAACACAAGTGCTTTTCACCTAAATAAGTCGGAAATGTGTGTAGAGACATTTATTCTCACAATTCAACAACTTGTAATGGTGGAAATAAAGAGAGTTCTTTACACCAAAATACGTCTCAAATATTTGTCTATACATTTATATTAACAAAATAGCAGTTAAAAGTTACATTTCATACAGCAGATATTAAAATTGCGCCAACTCACTTTGCAAAAGGGTGGGGTCCGGCGGGCGAATGGGTTGCTAGCAAAGTGTAAGGGGGCTGCTGGCTGCGAGGCAAAGATGCAACTAATTAGAAATAGAGGGCGTCATACCACAATGAATACACAACACCAGTAGGGATTATGATTTATTACTAGCAAATCTAATATAAGTCCAGTGCCCTCCCATTGATATGCAAATGATGTTACATAATTTACACATGTGCTGACTGACCTTGGTAGGGCACAGACAAACTACAACTACAAAATGACTATGGAACAAAAGAACCAGGACACTCGTTGTAGAGAAGTGTAGTAAAGTGCAGTCAGGAAGATGGAAGCCGTGCTGCAAATTCATTTACTGTGAAGGGTACAGATACTGGTGGAAGACAACACTTTCCAATCTCCCAGTAGCTTGAATCATTTCTGAAGAGATGCCACACTGCTTTGACTTTGACTACCCAATGAAAATTGTCAAGCTTTAGAGAAAGGAAAAAAAGTCACCACGAGTTAGATGACGTGAACTATCAAACTTGGACCCAGATGGTGGCAAGACATTGGAGTTTTGAAACAATCTAAAAAAGGGTGTCAAAAAAATGATCCAAAACACTAAAGTCAGACGAGGCCGATATGTCAAGTTGGGCATGACCACCAAGAAGGAGTGCTGGGGTGAGGAAAGTGAACAATCATTGGAGAGGAGGTTGGGGAACCACACTCAATATGGAGGATGCGGACAATATTCAGGTATTGGCGGAATGAATTAATAGATATGCGACTGGTCAGGTGTGCCGCAAACTGACATAGAATCATAGTATCCACACTCCATGCAAAATTCCATGTAGGCTTCACGGTGTGTGCGATAAGAGGATTAGCATTCGCTTAGGTTGAAACATTCATATACGTATTTTGCCCGACATTTTAGTATGATCGTATTCTGTATGCATAGTACGTTAATGCAAGTGTCGCCCTCAAAAAAATGCCTAATTGTTTGATTCCGCATGTATTATGATAATGTCATACATAAAAATGTTAAAACAATTCCAGCCTAATATAAGGACAATATAAAAAGTCAAGACAATGCCAACCTAATGCAGAGACAATATAAAAATGTCAAGACAATGCCAACCTAATACAAAGACAATATACAAATGTCAAGACAATGCCAACCTAATACAAAGACAATATAAAAATGTCAAGCCAATGTCGACTAAATGCAAAAAAATATAAAAATGTCAAGCCAAAGCCAACCAATTGCAAAGACAATATAAAAATGTCAAGACAATGCCAACCTAATACAAAGACAATATAAAATGTCAAGACAATGCCAACCTGATACAAAGACAATATAACAATGTCAAGACAGTGCCAACCTAATGCAAAGACAATATAAAAATGTCAAGACAATGCCAACCTAATACAAAGACAATATAAAAATGTCAAGACAATGCCAACCTAATACAAAGACAATATAAAACGTCAAGACAATGCCATCCTAATACAAAGACAATATAAAAATGTCAAGACAATGCCAACCTAATACAAAGACAATATAAAATGTCAAGACAATGCCAACCTAATACAAAGACAATATAACAATGTCAAGACAGTGCCAACCTAATGCAAAGACAATATAAAAATGTCAAGACAATGCCAACCTAATACAAAGACAATATAAAAATGTCAAGCCAATGCCATCCTAATACAAAGACAATATAAAAATGTCAAGACAATGCCAACCTAATACAAAGACAATATAAAAATGTCAAGACAATGCCAACCTAATACAAATACAATATAAAAATGTCAAGACAATGCCAACCTAATACGAAGACAATATAAAAATGTCAAGACAATGCCAACCTAATACAAATACAATATAAAAATGTCAAGACAATGCCAACCTAATACGAAGACAATATAAAAATGTCAAGACAATGCCAACCTAATACAAAGACAATATAAAAATGTCAAGACAATGCCAACCTAATACAAATACAATATAAAA